TAATGGCAGCCGCTTTAGCTAATGCATCAATTGATACTGTAAATAGTTCCTTGTTATAATTATTATAATCAATAAATTCTGAAAATGTATTGTAATTATTATTATTATTATTAAAATTTTTTAATGGTGGTGGCGAAGAGGAAAATGACGAAGGTGATTGTGCAATGATATTGTAATCATTATTACTACTTGTGATACTATCATTATTGAATGCGTGCGTTTGTGTAACCGACTCTGATGAAAAACTGAAGTTCATTTTAAAAAAATTAATTAAAAAAAATCAATAATTAAAAAAATAAAAAAATAAAAAAATCATTCCTATGATTAAAATAAAAAAAAAATTTATTAGTTATTTAAATATTTTTTTGAGTGAAAAATTAAATTGTACAAGAATATTTTTTTTTACACACAACCATCATATGATAAATTATTAAACACGTAATAGTAATAATAGCAATGGTAATAGCAATGGTAGCAATAATGGTAATAATAATAGTAATAATGAATTGAATTATGACAATATTTATGGTTAGAGTAAATGGCAATTATTGTTGGACAGCTTAAATACCAGAAGAGTAACTTGCCGTAATGGTAAAATTTAGTTAATTAAAAGGCGCGCGTCACCTTAATTATTTAAAAAGTTTTTTTTTTAAAAAAATAATATACAACAATTGATAATATAATGAAATTTTAGTATAATGGATAAATATTTTCACCAAAAAAAAGATCATACGATAAATTTTTAATTCCGCTGATATTAAAGATCAGCTCATATCATGGTATGATTTTTTTTTTACCACTAATATTAATCAAATAGAAAATATTCGCGTTTTTTTTACATATTTAGAATTATGATGTAATAAAGGTAACAATAAGAAATACTGTAAATAATAAAATCATACGATAACAGCTAAACGACACCACTAATTGATTTTATCGTATGATCGGCACGCAAGAAAAAAATAAATGTAAACATTATAATTAAATAATTTTTTTTATGCTTTAAGTAAACACAATCTTGCGCCTTTCTCTTCAAATATGAATTTTTATTTGTCAATGACTTTTTTTGTGTGTAACAGCGGCTTCTCAAAGAAAGTTCATAACTTTTGACTTTGGAAACACCGTTCTTTTCGTGAAATAGCTTTATTAAGATCATTTTAGCATGATAAGATAGAATACATCGAGAGCTTCACAAAATATATAGTTTGTGGGTATTTCTGATGGGGAGGAATTAAGAACGAAGAACGTTTTTGCAAATATTATAAAAATTGTTAAATTTATTTTCAATCTTTATGGTGCAGTTTATCTATAGTGCAGGACATCTATAATGGTCAATGATTATCACATGACTTTAAAAGCTTATAACTCCTTATTTAAAAAAGAAAAAAGAAAACCTATAGAATAAAGCTAAAGATTTAAGCTTCGTTTAATCGGTTTACTTTTTTCTTTTTATTAAAAAAGTTTTGAGTTATAAGGCTTCAAAGTTAGGCCATTTTATATATGTCTATATGTAAATTGTAAAATTTCGGAATGATCTTCCCTTGT